ACAATACCATATCTTTTTTTTTAATAATGCAAATAAGGACTTGGGTTTCATTATTTTTGCCGGTTTAGCAACGCTGCTCCCGCTCGGTATATCCTCCATTATAATTATTATTTGATTGTTTTTATTCTAAGGTCAGGTAAATAAAAAGCATAACATTCATTTCAATTTTTTTTTATTTTTCAATTTAGTTTTATATTTTAAAAATGCTTTGTATTGCATAGGTGGCAAATTTTTATTTTCCAATCGAGAGACATCTGTACCCTTTAAAATTTTATTAATTATGTTGCACCAATTAAACACTGCTAATCTACTTGAAAATCCCAGAAAATAATTTAAAACATTATTTTTGTGTTTATCACATTCTAAGAAATCAAATAAATACCCAGACTTGACAGCATTTTTTATATTAACTAATATTTTATTTTCATGTGGTTGATGTTCCAGGTATTTATTTGATTCCTCTATTATTTTTGAGAATAATCTCAGAGCATGTTCAGAGGGGTAGGACAATTTCCTTTTTTTTATTGATGTAAATTCACGAAAACTAATCCATTTGTGGATTGGTTCTTCAACTTCACTAGTTAAATTTTTTTTACACAAGTCACATTTTACTCTATTTAATATTTTTCGGACAACCCACCCCGCAGTGTATGCCCTTGAATGAACATTCAATCTTTCTTGTCTTATGCTTAATAAAAGATTTTCTGGGTCAAAGTTTTCTTGTCTGCTCTGATTTATTGGCTCTGGTTTTTCAGTTTCATCTTCATAAGGGACATTTGTTTGAAATAAAGATTTAATTTTTAACAGCTGATCGCCTGCATCGTCCTCACAATTGAAAGAGCCCGAGTGAAATTTTATAAATCTTGTGATTAACAGTGATTTAAATGTGCATCTGAAGGTGTGGCAATCTGGATCATTGTTTCTGAAATTATAGGCCCTGACCTGACCGAAAAAATTTTCTATTGGGTCAGAATTAAAATATCTTGGCCGCATAAATTTAATATTTTTACTTTCAAAAAATTGCCACACCCTTTGATAACTTTCAATAGTTGTAATCCAATTTTTTAGTGAGGGTACAACAGTCTCTTTACCATTGGCATCTATAAATTTAATATTTTTTAACTTTTCAATTGCTTCTTTCCAAAACTCATGATGTGGACTATTTGCAGGCACAGCTTTCCGTAAAGGTTTCCCTTTCGAAGATTTGCTAAATTTAGCAGCTCCATTCACAGAGTCGAATAAATCGTCAAAGAAGTATACAATCTCAGCTGTATTTTTCAATGTTGCACTAACTTCAGTTCCATCAGCATATTGGGCTAAAACAAAATACGTATAAGTAGATTATAAAGATTTGTAGACAAAGGAAATTTGTTTTTTTAGTATGAATAATTATATAGCATACCAAATTCTGAAGTATAAGTCAACGTTGCTGCTACTGACTTGCTGAACACGCGAGCACAGTTTTTTACCTAGAACGATACATTATTTGTATAGTAAATTCATAGTAAATTTATGTAAAAAATATAAATCTTAAAATAAATTCATAAAATCACCTTCATCTTTTTAATTTTTTCAGGTATAACATGTTCATCATTTAGTTTTGGCAGTAGTCTCATTTGAGCATGGTTACAATCCCTCTTGTATATTTCCACTATATCATCCCATTTCGAAATTTTTCCATTAAATTTAATATTTTTGGTTAAGAAGTTATTTCTTAATCCTTTAAGAAGATGAGGTGGGTCAAATATGACACTTAGAGTGTGTTCTTTAATAATAATGACATCATCTGAAAAAAAAAAACTTAATTTAATGAAAAATGCTTGAAAAATTGTGAATGCAAAATTTATCAAAAAAAGTCTAAAAACTATTATTAAGAATTTTAAGATACTAAAAGTTAACTACACTTTATTAATATTTTTTTAATTTTAAACAAACATTTGTTGCTATTGAAGACAAACTTTGATGATACTATGAGGTTAACTCACTTACCAATTACTAGATCACCAGCTTGTAACTGCTCTTTTCTTGTATCTTCTTGTAGTGATTTTAAAGCAGAGCGAAATGCTGTGCCTTGGTCACTTACAAGGGCTACTGGTGCAAGTCCAGAATCACTCACAGCAGATACAATTTGTTTGATAATAGTTTTTAATTGCACACCAGATGTAGCACCTTTACAAAAGTAATAGGCTACAGGTTGCTGCCACTTATAAAGTGCTCCTCTTACCATAAATACCAGTGCATGATCTGCGAAGTCATTGGTTTTTTTATCACCCACTTCAACCAAACCAGTAATTGCATCTTTGTACTTATTATATTGAAGTCCTGCCTCCAATGCCACTTCATCGAATATTATGGTGCAGTATTTTTTGTTTTGCTCCCAAGTGTCAACCTGCAATTGATTCAATGGTTAAATTGAATAGTAATCAATACATAAAATAGGTGGAATCCATCATTACTTGATAAAAAAATTATAAATATTAAGACATTCTGGGTAGATGTTGTATCTTTTTAATTATATATTTGTGATAATTTCAATGATTCTGATACTAGAGTAGCATAAGAACTTTAACTAACTTATGCAAGTAGGTTCGGTTCAGCTAGCCTACTCTGAGAATTCATTTTGTATCTCATGAAAGTGATTTCATTTAAATTTAAAAAATCTATACCAATGGACTATCAATTAGCGATTTATAAAATTGAGTTACAGAATACTATACTCCATTGTGATATATTAGAGAATTGTGAACAATTAATTTTTCTTCTTGTTCAGAAAAGAGGGCAGATCAATATATACCTATATATAAATTTTTCTGATATTTATATTCTGATAAAAGTTTAAAGGATTATGACTAAATTATTACAGTGCTTACACATGCATACCTCTTCTTTAATGGCTTGAAATATTTGAGGATTAATACCAGCTTCAATATTTAAATTTGATACCATTTTGTTTAGAGTGGTTTTTGATGGCAATATAAAAATTTTTTGAAGAAATTTATAGCATTTCGGGCTTTGTTTCATTATAGAAAGCCCAATAATCTTTTCCTCTAGTGTGAATCTTCTACCTTTGCTTTTTTTAGTGCATTGCTTTATTTGCATCCAAATTATTTTTTTTGCTAAAGGGTTCATTGCCCGTGTCAGCTTATCAAATGCATTATCAGCATTAAATTTAATGGCTCTTTTTGCTCTTCGGCTGAAATCTAATTGCTTCCTCGATTTACAGTATTCTTTGTAAATTCGATGACAATTTGGTGTTAAAGATTTTAACTTTTGAAACAAACGTCTCCTTGTATGTCTTCTTGGTGTTACAGGTACAGCATCTGTATACAAATAAAATAAAAAGTACTTGTCAACTTTGAAAACTATTATTTATTCCTTTCTAGTTTAAGCATTCCTTGGTTATGATTCTGAGCACTGAAGATTCTGTGCAGAATTTTGACCATAGCAATTCGAAATGTTCTTTAGGTAAATTAAATCTTGTTGTAAGTCTCTTAAATTTAATAATAATACTGTGCAGTAAATATAACAAAATGGATTATCACAAATACATATTATTGGGTAATTTAATTACAAATAAGTAATATTTTTACCTGCAATGTTACACGCCACAGGAATTTTCTCCACAGCATAAGATGTAGATGGTATATCTGCTACAAAACCAAGAAATATTTTGTTTTACGAAAATCAATTTATTTAACTTATCTACTTAATTGTTATTATTTATATATATTCCAAATATTTTTTGTATAAATACAGAAAATCATTATAGATCATTTCTTAAAGATTGAATGTAGAAGGCGTATCTGTTACGGTTATGATAACAGTTTAATTAGTCAAATTTATGTTTGAAAGTATCTTTAACAATCACTAAACTTATTTTTTTAGCTACTTAAAAATAAGCAGATAGAGAGAAGAAAAAGAGAAAATAAAGAAATCGCTTACCAATATTAATTCTTGGGTGTTTCTCAATAACTTCAGGTTTGCAATAGTTATGATCAACATGTAATCTTTTCCTAATATAATTATGATCACTACGAACACAGCCTGAAATTGTAAAGTATAATAAATTAGATTGTTTTCTTTGATATTAGATAACATGATAATTTATATCTACATTTTCAGGTAAATAAAAAATAAACAAGTCATATAAATTTGTAGTAACTTGTAGTTATTACTGCAATAGTTTGTGTATGTTTGTCTATACAATATACTATATATGTAGGTACACCAAAAGATTTATAGTAGAATTCCAATTATCAGGATCAATTAAAACCAGGGGTATTCTGTATAATTGAAAATCTAGATAATCAAATTCAAAGTCAATACGATATATAAAAAACAATCTATATAGGTAATGAATTAAACGAATACCTATGAAATTTATAAAATTATGCTTTGATAATTATAGCTGAGATGGATGTGTCCAGATTATTGAGGTTCTGATAATTGGGAATCTACTGTACTATATAAACGTAAACAACACAAATTTTACATACTTGTTTGATCCGGGGTGACAATAATGGATTGAGGAACACCACTGGATATCTCGCTAGCTGTAAATAATGTGGGGAAAGCATCAGGCCGCAGTCGAGCTCTATTACGTGTCGAAGCAAGAAATCTTTTCTCAAAATGCTTTTGACACACAAATTGTTTTCGCAGCTGCTGGAAGCTCAAGCTTCGCAGTCTTTCACAGTTCATACTTTGTAACCACTTTTGGAGTCCTAACTCAGATTTTGGAAACATATGAAAATTGACGTCCTTTCGCCTACTAACACAATTCACAACACAGCACTTATTGTACATGGTGAAAGATGTTATTACAGCACTGGGTATTACAGTTTCAGAAATTGGAGGATAAGTTACGGAAATAAATCAACGCAAAACTTCACTCAAACAAATTCGAAACTGTAATGACAGTTTGTCTTTGGTTTACAAATGATAGGAAAGGGGAAAGAAGTAGAGGAGGAGGGGATAAGGAACTGTCATTTATGATATGTGAACCATAGACATAAGGTTAACATTTTTTCTTTGAAGATTACTGCCCGTGCAAGGTGCCTATGATACGATGAATTTTATCACGATTACAAGAAAATTGTGTTAGTATTTTGAAATTCCAAAAAAGCTACTTTACAGGTTTTTTACAAGCAAAATGCCATCAAAACAGAGAAAAATTGCTATGATGGGTTACAGATCAGTCGGTAATTATTTAAAAATTAATGTTAATATTCTACGCGTTATTTCTTTTCGATTTTGTTATTATAGAATGTAAACTATTTTCAGGGAAATCTTCACTAATTATTCAATTTGTTGAGGGTCAATTCGTAGATTCTTATGATCCAACTATAGAAAACAGTAAGTTTTATTGCTTTTGTGTATTTACAATAGGAACATAAATTACGTTCATTTTGATGCAGATGCATTTTTCATACGACTGTGTTATCATTATTTTATAATTTGAATTAATTTTTATAAGAAGTTGATGGGTAGGGACGTTTCTTATGAAAAAAATGTTAATATTTTTTTCAGCATTTACAAAATTTATTCGCCTAAATTCAACAGAATATGAAGTTAAATTAGTAGATACAGCAGGTCAAGATGAATACAGCATATTTCCATTACAGTATAGTATGGATTTTCATGGCTATGTTTTAGTTTATTCTATTACTTCAAGCAAAAGTTTTCAAATAGTACAAATCATTTATGATAAATTGTTAGATATGGTTGGAAAAATACAGTGAGTATTGACATCATATAAATTTAATTTCAAAAACTCTTGTTTGGTAGATTACTAAATTTATATAATCTGATTTAATTTGTTATAGTGTACCAATAGTCTTAGTTGGAAATAAAACAGATCTTCATTTAGAGAGAAAAATAAGTACAGATGAAGGAAAGCGACTTGCTGAGAAATGGAAGGCTGCTTTTGTTGAAACCAGTGCAAAACGCAATGAGGTAATTTGCCAAATATAGGTGTATCATAACATAATGTGTTATTGATTGATTATAAACTTCTATTATATTCAATTTTACTGCACTTATAAAATTTTAAATATTTTCTAATGTAAGTCTTTTTTTTTTCAGTCGGTAACTGATATGTTTCATGCAATATTGTCTGAAATTGAAAGGTCTGATGGACATATACAAGAGAAAAATGGATGTGTTATATCTTAATGAAACGCACTTTTATAGGCTCTTTTGGACATTGCACTCTCTACTTAAGCTGAAAGTGGTACATATGTTATAGTTTATGTGCACTGCTGTCATAGTAGCAATAATGTTTCCTGCATATTTGATAAGTGCAAACATGGTTTTGTAGGTTTCCTATTTCATGTTATATATAGGTTATTACCTATATCATATATTAAAATTGTAAATCATATATTAAAAAGTTGAATAGTTTTGATTTGGTTTGTATAAAATGAAACTCATTAAAATAGATTGATTGTAACTATAAGTAATTTACATTCTGGTTTAAGATTACATATTCTGAACACAACTTGATAATTTATAAAGTAATTGCTGAATTATGACGATTATAAAATCAAATCTTCAATCCAGAATGTTTGTTTCGTTGATTGTTATAACATTTCCTATTTGCTAATTTCAAACAGTAAATTGACTGACAGCATTATACACAAATATTCAGCTGAAACCCAACAAAGCATCAGCATTTAATTAAAAATAGATATAAACTGCTTTATAAATATTACTTATTGTAAATATAATTGTATGTGTTTTTCTTACTCATGTTGTACAAAATAATTGCATTAATTTATTAAGTCGTGTACATGTAATGATCGTTTTATAAAATGTTATTGTGGGTGTGGCTAAGTTTATTGATATATAAGAGCAGCCATGTCTAGCCTATATTTATATCCCTATTTCCACTTTGTCTTTTCACAAGAGATCAGACATTGATTTTCTTTGTAATTATTTGAATAATTACAATTTTTTTTGTACATTGTACATTTTCAAATTTTAGCATAACATATTATAAACCATGGAATGCCATGTGAACCTGCATTCGGTTTAATGCTTGGATTAAATTATATTTGTATTAGTGACATGCAGCTTTTTGATAAGAAAAGGGGTGCTGCTTGACTGAAGTTGAATGGTGTTTTAAAATATCAATAAAAAAAAAACTTTAATTCTACATGTAACTTTTTCAAGTCTCTGTTTTTCAATTAAGTGTCACCCATAATTTTCTGAATCAGAACTGCCTGTTTTCTAGGATATAAAAAGTACCAACAATGCAATAGTAATTACAAATAGACTAAATTAGAATGTAACAACACCTCTTAGATATATGATGTGACAGCTGAGTGTTGTAATAGATTGCCTTTAAAATTATTTCAGTCACAATTAACATTTTATGGGAATCACAACAGAGCTGTGTGTGGGAATTCACATTCTCATGATTTAATATAAAATTCTGATGAACAAATTGTTTTGGAGCATTTTTGCATCATCTGTGCTAGGGGCATAGTAAGAATTTTGTTGATGAGGCAAAAGAAAATTATATAGTTACATAATATTAATGTATGTTCATATATTAATTTTCTTCACAGAAACTCTGCGGGGCTTAATTTTTATATTACATACCCATCTTTTGCAAAGTATTATTCAATTAAGGGACTTTGAAAAACATGTACATACACGGCTGCACGTCAAGTTATCACAAAATGTTGAATTTTCGCATTTTGATTTGAACTCTACCCTCTAATCATAAAGTTTAAAATCAATTGTAGTAATTTGACAGATTTTATAACGTCACGTGCTGTTGATTGTACGTTCTAACGTAGCTTTTGTAATTAATTTATTTTAAAAGATATTTTTGTGAAACTCCTTTTTTTAAATGTTTTATAAATTACACTAGTGCCTGGGGCAAGTACTCCCATTTGCTCCCCTACCCCTAAATCCGGCTTTGATTAAAGATTATCCTTACAGTAATCACTTAAGATTAAAACCCTTAATCTAAGGTAATCTTTAAATCTTTCACAAACCATTTCAAGACCGATCTTGTATTCCTTTTTATTTTTTAGAGCTCTGCAAACGGATACAACGGCACCCTAATAGGAACATTGTTGTCTGTCGCAACAAAAGACGTCGACAGTTGTTAGCTATTTCCAAAATTACTGAATCGTTGGAGATGAAATTTAGTGCAATTCGACAATCCAAAAACGGTATAAATAAATTTTAATACTGTCTTTTACGAGGAGGGCAAATAGAAAATTATATAATACTTAATAAAAGTGCTTATTGTGAGAAATGCTAATATATTTTTAAGTAATGCTCCTTAGACTCTACAGTTTTTTTATTTATTTTGAGATTACTACTAACAAAAACAAAAAAATGCCCTCCGACGGATTTGACTACGGCCGTGGCTACATATATCTTAATATTATTGATCATGTATAGTATAAGCTTTATTAAATATTCTGTGGTACGCAAAAGATCAAAATACTAGCATTCTCAATAAACTTTATGAATTGGTGATGAATTAAACGGTTCTAATGTGTTAGCCTCTGTGTGCTTTCACACAACGACTTTTCTGGGCGTCCGCAACAATATTTTGATCTGGATCAAAATTATTCTGGACATTATTGCTGGTACTTACAAGTATTCAATCTGAATTTTTTTCTGTAAGATTTAACGTGTTACATGATTAAGAGTACGAATCATCATGGAATAAAACCAGTTCGTAGTAACGAGCGGTGCTGGCATCATACAAAGCAATTGCAAAAATAATGTCCATACAATATGTAAATCTCGTTTTCGGCTTACAGCAAGAACTAGATAATGTATGAGGAGATGTATGTAAAGATGAGATTGTTGATTAAATACATATTTGAAGAAACGCATTGTGCAAACTATAAATTAAGACGGCGCGAATTATGGTGATGAATTAAATATAATTATTCTAGTATTTAGAAATAAATTATTATATTGTAAATTATTCCGTTATTTTATATTACCATAAAAAGACCCCAATTCGATTGTCTTGAGTTACTATCTATATAAAGGTACCTATAAAAATATTGCGTTACTGAGTGACTGACTGACTGACAAACAACGTACAGCCGCAACTACTGAGCATAGAAAATTGAAATTTGGAACGAAGATTTCTTAGGCATCGTAGAGGAGCACTAATATAGGATTTTTTAAAATTTCACCCCTAATGGGCTAAATTAGGGGAGAAAAGTTAGTATGAAACTTCGTCGCTACAAGTGTTAGGAGTTAAAAATTTTGTATGCGGGGATTCTTTTTAGGCTAAATTTGGGGATGAAAGATTTTATGAAATTTTCCTTTTCTGAACTTAAAACTAGACCACGCAGGCGAAGTCGTGGGCAAAAGCTAGTTTAAAAGTAAAAAGCACAAAACATTATGCGTGTGTTTAATGATTTAAGAAATCAAGAGTGTCTCCGAGAGAGCATACAAATAAAATCTTGGATTTTGAATTATCCTATCAAATCTGATATGTGTCAAGCCATTATAAAATGGGTACAATGGGACAAATAGTCATGTTACGTATTAGTTGTGTAGATAAACGACTTTGTGGCACGTCAGCTAGAACACGACACATTGAGCGATGTATAGTCGATAGATAGTTTGGCCGCTATCGTTTTAGAACGTTTGAGCGATTAAATTATCAACCGGCTAATATAGCTACATAGTGTTTGCTGGCTCTTATACGTATTTCAAAAAACTTTATAGGACATCATGTAATCACTCATTTAATAGAGTCATAGCGGTGATAAGGCTTAAATAAATGATCTTAATAGTAATTAAGAAATAATGTTATATCTGAAATAGAAATGGAGTAATGGTTAATGAGTATTATACCTTTGTGTTAGCATACTCTAAGAAAAAAAAGTCAATATGACACCGACTGACTTGACATTTATGTCAACAAATTTTATTGTGAAAATGGCGACTACTGGAGTAGGATTTCGGTGGTTAGATTTATTGGAAAAGGAGTTTGATAAAGCATGTGTCGAGTTAGACACATCTCTCAGTGAGTATTGTAGTACTTGATAATGCCTAGATGATAAATAACTATTCATAAGATGTACTCTTATCATTCATAAGATCATTGGACTTTGTTGTGCTCTTGGTTCCAACAAGATTGTGATTTTCAAAATTTATATCAATTTGATACATTATAGAGTTTCATAATTAAAATAAGTTTCTGTTAATATATTCTGAAGTACACTATATAGATATAGAGAAAGAAAATCCAGATTTATTTGAAAAAAACATCTTGTAAACAATATTTGAGACAGTTGATGCTATTTAAGTTTATTGTTTTATTATGGTTTTGTCAGAATTTTTGGTTTGATAAGTTTATGATTCTATAACGTCAAATAAACCAAAAACTTCAATCTAATATAATTTAAAAAAATCATTTTGAAATCATGAACCTAAAATGTGAAATGACATTAATGGTATTGTACACAAATTACAGCGGAGCTGGAAACAGAAGAACCAGAAGTAGTATTCTCATCTCGACAAAAAATAGCCACATTAAGTTCGTGCTTTGCACAACTTACACATAAGGCTCTCACTATATTTCAAAATGGTGCTAAATTGGAGGTATGTTATGTCTATTATGAATTAGCTAAACATTTCAGAAGCACAACATTTTATTGATATGTAGTTTTAGCTAGGTGTATGAATATGGTTGTCAGATAAGATTTAACTGTCTAGGGAAAATTTTAAAAGCAATGGTTAAATTGATTATCAAAAACATTTTTTAAAAACAGAAATATTCAATATGATATATATAAAATGATAGATTGGATACCGAGCACTATTGAAGTTATTCACAAAAATCACAACAGAACTAAATTAATTTGAAAAAGTAGTAAGAGTGTTTTAAATTTTTGTTTCTTTGGTATGTTTTGATTTATTATTTGTGACTGGACTGATAATATATATCCCTTAAAATATCACAATATCTGTCATGATTTATAATATGTTTGATGTACTATATCCAAATATTTAATATATTTAACTAAGTTCTTTAAAATTAAATACTTACTGTAGCTGTCACTATAATGTATTAATATGCATTAAACCAGGGCACTCCAACCAACCTGTCCTGAGGACTGGAGAGGAGTGGTTGGCTTACCTTTTAAAACTCACTGCGGTCACCCTTGGTGGGGGGAACGATGCAAGATCCAGCTTGATCCACATGATAGCTATTAGCAGAGACTGATAACACCCACAGACGAACAGTATTTTGTTAGTTGATACTCTTTGTCTGTTGTGGGTACTCTTAGTATTTTACTAACAAACATGGGATGAATAATAATTGAACTATCAATTTCTCTCAATGGGATAGGTTTGTAATGAAATTATGTTATGATAAAGTATTAATTTTATTTTATAAACACGCATAATACAAAATTGAAAACCATGATCTGGAATAAACTAGTTTTGCCAACTAGGACCTCTATCATAGGGGTGTTTGTGAAGATGTCTTCGGTGTAGTGGCCTTTCAGTGACTTCTTTCTTGAGTTGATTGCTTTTGTTAATACCATTGAGTATATCTTTGTCTTCATCCATTATATCGCCACCACCACCGTCGTCGTAGAAATTTTTCTCTTCTGGGTTGTCCTCTTCATAATCAATCTCTTCATCAGATTCGTCTTCCCCTCTGTCAAAAAAATACTTTATAAAATTTTTATCAGCAACCTTAATATACTTATGTAGTTAACAATATTGTTTTTTTATTGGCTACCAACATGTGATAGCTGAGTGGCTTCGTTATAATTAAGCAACCTTCACAACTCGTATATAAGGGTAAATATAATCCCAGTGGAACTGTACTTGGAAAAGCATTGTAAGCCCTCCGTTGCATTGGACAAATTAATTCTATTGAGATAAAAAGAGTGACATATATGCCAAGTTACGGTTTGTTATCCTATCCTATTCGATAGGGAAAGCGCAGTCCCTACCGTCACATGTCATAATCAACACTATCAGTCTGATAATGAAGGCATAATAGGATAAAATATCAGCTGTTTCTTAGGGTGATGTTCTTATTGTATCCACTTATTGAATAATAGTTGTTACTGTTACATATCGTTTTGTGAACGTGGCGGTACATACATTCCATTAAGTTTTTGTAGGAGTTGGTCAGCATCTGTAATGTTAGATGATGGTTCCTCGTCTTTGAGTTTCGTCTCGAGCCGTTGTAGGGCGGCGTCCGCGCGGTTGGTCAGGTCCACTAATTTCTCCGTCAACTGTTGCAATTCATTCTCCTTGAACGTTACATGTGTCGTGTTTCGAATTACGCTCTCGAGGCGCCGGCATGTTGAGTCGCTCTATAATAATTAACAATATTATAATGCCATATGCAATACATTTTTTTTACATGAAATAGCCTTTATGTCATAAAGGTAACTGGAAAGTTTATGTATCGGGTTTATTTATTTATTTGCTTACCTGAACATTTCGATTAGAGCTGATCAATTTTTGTACCTTCGTGTCGTGATTTCGTATAGTAATTTGAATGTTTTGAAGTTCGTGGAATGTTGACGCAGTCCTATAATAAAAAGGCAAACAAGGTGATAATATTTTCATTGACACCTGTAGTAAATCATTGGCTCAGTGGCGTAACTATACCGTTTGAGGCCCGTGGCAAATTCATCAGATATTCAACTTTTTTTACTAATTGCGTAATAATAAATGTCAGGAGTAAAGTCTCCTCTGACCGGGGGCCCCTTCCAGCTGAGGCCCGTGGCATTTTGCCTACTTGCCACCCTGTAGTTACGCCACTGGGCTCAAGCTTAAAAGATGGTGATGAAATTAAATTAATAATAATTCATACTTATTGATAAGTGTGTCGATAAGTTTGCCCAGGACGTCGGCTACTTGATTGGGGTCGTCTAGCTGTTCTCGTTGACATGAATCTACGAAACGCTTTTGCACATCCAGCAATTCTTTCATCTGAAACAAAATGAAATTATCAAGTCAAATAATAAATACTATTAATTATAAGTGAAACCTTATTTACATGATATTTGATATAGTCGTTGGACTTTCAGTACAGTTCTGTCACATTAATTTTTTTCTACTAGCTTCAACGAAAATAAACCTTTATTACCTTGTAAATTCGGTTTTATCTGATTAAACCTCTATGCTGTAACAGCGCTGCGCTCAACGTTGAGCTCGACGTTGATTTTTTTACTGTAATAAACTGCTGGTTCTCTGCAGTCAAGGTTTTTGTTGTTTTCTAGAAATATTTTTTTTAAGATACTTTCTCGTTATGTAACTAAATGATTTCACCAAAAAGAGGTAATCCGGCTCAATTCTTTTACATATAATACATGAACGTTAGCTGTTTAAGGCACCTTCAGATCGATCTTATAAGTGTTGTCTTTGAGACGTTTCGTGAAGGCGGCCTCGAGGTCGGCGGAGGTGAACCTTGCGTCGCGTTGTCGTCGCGCTAACGCTCGTAGCCCGTCGGCTAGCTCACGTCGCGTCACGTTCACCAATGACAGACCGTCGCGCATTAGGGCTTCTAACACCAGACCTCGGTGCCACGTGTCTGCGTACGCCCCATTTACCTAAAACAAACGATTAATTTTTTTTTCCATTGATATCATTCATTCAGGTGAAATTTTATAGAAAAAAATGTTTTTCAATTTATCTATATCTTCACGCTGTATCCCTCACAGAGTAGGCTGAGAGGATCGAACGTCAGAAAGCTTGGTCCTTATATCATCAACACCATTAAGTTTCTACAATAGCAATAGTAAATAAAATAGAGCATTAATTTACTTCTGACTACCCCCTAGCATTCTTAGTTGAACAGTTTTGATTTTCTTTAAAATATATAGGTATATTATTGCTATTGATTGGATACTTTTGAATGTTTATCTAGCGTAGTATGACTTACCTTATCCAACAAGCGTTTGTGTAACATAATTTGTGATGTTAAATTTTGCGCTAATTCGGAAATCTTCATTTGACTACGTTCCAGCTTCTCACTACTCTCTTTGATAGAAGTCTGAAAACAAAACAAAAAAATGGCAGTTTAGAATGAGCAATGTAGTCAGTACATGCATCGATAATAAGACAACGAATAATGAAAAATAATGATTCTACTAGAACATTAATTACCATATTTAAATAACAATTACGCACATAAAAATCTTATACTTATTTAAAATAATAATGATGAAATGAATGAGTTTATTATTATTTAAAACCATAATAGCGACGCTATTGTATGTTTGTAATTCTAATGTATGAGTAGCTCGGTGCCGTAGTGGATAAGCGTCGCGGCCTGCGATCGTAGTCGTTAAGCAACTTTCGCAAAGGTCGGTCACGGGATGGATGACCAAAAATTATTATCTCGAGCTACTCCGTGCTTCGGAAGGCACGTTAAGCCGTTGGTCCCGGTTGCATTTGCAGTCGTTAATATCCTCCAATCCGCATTGGGCCAGCGTGGAGGATCATGGCCCATCCTTCTTAACCATCCATAAGGAAGGCCTGAGCCCCTGCAGTGGGGACGTAAAAGGGCTGGTGATATAATCCTAATGTAGCAAATTATTAAGATTTTTTTTTTACTTTTATTGCATTTTTTTTTCAAATGCATTAATTTTTTTTTTTGTTATTTGATCGTAATCTTCGAAACCCTTTGATAGTTCTCATAATTTATTTAAATTCTACTGGTCAACAAAAAAAAATTGCCTTTGATCGTAAGTTTTATTTTTCACTTAAAATGTGTGTGTCAAAAAAAAGAAACTCCCAGCTTCTTCGAAAAATATGTTTATTAAAAAAATAAAACATTAAATATTTACTTAAATTTTGAATTGTTTTTAAATTTTATTCTGAGGATGTTTTGGTTCTCTTTGCTTGTCTCTTATAACTATATGAGGGATGATCTCGTTTTAATGTCCAACAAAAATCTGCAAGCATTCTCGGCGACCATTTTCCTTGGTATCTTTTTTTCATTGCCTTGATGTCCTGATGGAATCTTTCGTCGCTTATCGCACACTAGTTTTCTGAGAAAAAGCCTATGGTGGGAATGAAGAAAATAAATCTTCAAAGACATGTTATATTCTAAGACTTTATATACTGAAGTAACTTAGAAACTATCTCCTTATAGTTTGGACACTTCGTGTTTCGCAAAAAAAAATTTGACACTTCTACAAAAGAAAGCCATGCATATTTTTTCATTTTGTGGTTAATTTTAAAATAAAATTCGTATCCTTCATGACCCTCCTTATATTTTTTGAGAAGGATGTTTTGGGAGAAAATGCTCCTTCATATGCGACCATAAAAAATTGGGTGGCTGAGTTTAAACGTGGCCGTACCAGCGCCCAAGATGAACATCGTCTAGGACGTCCAAAAAGTGCCACTACTCCAGAAATTGTTATCAAAATTCATGATGCAGTTTTAGCTGACCGAAGATTGAAACTTTCCGAGATAGCTGATACTGTAGGCATCTCTAAAGAACGGGCGCATTACATTTTGACTCAAGGTGTGTGCCGCGATTGCTTACAGTTGAGCAAAAACGCGTTTCACAAGAATGTTTGGACCGCTTTAAGAGCTATACAACTGATTTTCTGCGACGGTTTGTCACTACAAACGAGACTTGGGTTCACCACTATATACCTGAATCAAAAATTCAGTCTAAACAATGGACCGAAAAAGGATCCCCGGCTCTAAAGAAAGGAAGCCGTGAAATCAGCGGGGAAAGTTATGGCGTCATGGGATTCGAAGGGTATATTGATGATTGATTACCTTCCAAAAAGACAAAACATAAATGGCGAATATTATGTTGATCTACTTGATAAATTACAAGTGTGTATTCGTGAAAAAAGACCCGGCCTGGCTAAAATAAAAATAATCTTTCATCAGGATAATGCGCGCGTTCACATGTGCATCATTGCGATGGCGAAATTCAAAGAATTAAATTATGATTTGCTACCACACCCAGCTTATTCTCCTGATCTGGCATTCATCTGACTTTCATCTATTCCCTAAACTCAAAAATTTTTTAGGTGGACAAAGGTTTGAAAATAATAGCGAGGTGATGTCTGCCGTGGACAGTTATTTTGAAGGGCTTGAAGAAAACCACTTCAGGGACGGCATCAAGGCTTTAGAGCATAGATGGATGAAGTGCATAGCGCTTCAAGGAGACTATGTCGAAAAATAAATATACTTTTAACACACTAATTCAAGTTTTTCTATGCTAGGCTAGCTATTTATCATCCCGCCCTCGTATAACTGATTTAGTCAAATTGATTTAATATCTGCTTGTCATCAAGTTCCAATTTTAGAGAAAGAACGACCATTTAGAACATTTGAAGCTTGCAGGAAATTATATCAATTTACTTGCACTCCGTTTGGCGTCATTAATGGAGTGGCCGCCTTTCAACGATCTTTATTGTACGTCATACAAAAAAAACTTGAATTAGTGTATTCAAGTTTTTCTATACTAGGCTAGCTATTTATCATCCCGCCCTCGTAGCTTTACTGAGTCTAGGGAATTATGTTTTTAAATACAAAAAACCATCTTCATTTCTAGCCATGGAATTAACCAATTTTTCATGAGGCCTAATTTAAATGAAAAGGCGGTAAAATGATACTACTGGGCTATACCAAAAGGCTTACGGAAATATTTTTTTGGCCAGAAATGAAATCAGTCCTTATTGGCCAATATTTTTTGATGTAATGATGGCTTCTAGCTCTGCTGTCCCACTCACATAGGAAACAACAATATTTTGTGTATCCTCCTTGTAGCCAAAGCAATATTCCAACACGGTCATGGACAAGTTTAGATCTTTTTTTTAAATCATTTAGATCACCTTGACGTATTAAATATGGTTAGGCTTTATTTTCAAAAAAATCTTGTGACTGTAGCGGTCTGTGTTGAAGATACCGATTCGATAGCACTTACGTTCTCTGCATCTTTTTCCTTAATTGAAGGTTGCGGTAGTGGATAGTCTTTGGTATGAGGAAACGGTTTAGTTACTGTCTCCACATCAGGATTTACAATTTTATTTCTTGTTTTATAGGTGTACGAGATGATAGTACACCAAAGAAAAGAGATGATAATTTACAAAGATACAGTTTATTGGCACACAAAATACTTATATGTAAATGGTAATTAATGTATGATGATTATGAGTCGCGGTTGAATGAAGACTGACGTGCCATGCCCTAGATTTGGCACAGTAGCGTAAAAAATGCAACGCTGCAATTGTGCGGTTCATTGTACCGTACAATAGGAACGTTTAGGCGCGATTGGTACAATTCGCGATTGGTCCAATCGTGAAAAAATTACGAATTCGCGATTAGTCCAAATCGCTATTGGGCCAATTCGCTGTTGGGCCAATTCGCTATTGGGCGAATTCGCTATAAGGCCAATTTGCTATTAGTCCAAAAATAAAAGGATATCCAGAATGAAACAAAGGAGGTCTTTATTTGTATGGATTTTAATTATCATAACTAAAAATATAAACATTGTTTCACTAATTTTTAAATAACAATAAACGTAAGTATATAACTTTGTGAAAAGAATTGTTTGTTGTCAATGTTCCATTTGCATATTGGTTTAGTAACTGTTCATATTTTTTGTCAAATAAAATGTCGCGTTTTCTCCTTTTGTTATTTGTATTTTTAAACAAACTTTGCGTTATTCGGGTATCCTGATACTTGCTCTCTCTTCGCAGTTTATGAAAAAACAGAAATAAATTAGATTTTTTAGGAATGCGCCGATTTAACCGGGAATGCCAGCCTTTGTAATTTAATATCTCCGAAACTATTTGACCTAGACTTATATTTTTTTTTACATCATATTAAAGACAAATAGTACTCTCCAGGAACCTCGGGAGTGTCGGTCGTTCTGTTCCACCGAGTATGTTTATATGTTTTATTTTTATATTTATTGTAAAATAACAAAGGGAGGAAATGCGGCAATTTATTTGACAAAAAATATTTCAATTGAATATTGTTGGAATGAATGTACCAATCATTTTTAGTTTTTCGGGTAAATATGAAAGTAGGTGTAAATTAATGGCTATAAGATACTTATATATGTTATATAAATATGAAATTTTTATAATAATTAAAATCCATACAAAATAAATGACCTCCTTTGTTTTATTTTGGACTAATAGCGAATTGGCCCAATAGCGAATTGGCCCAATAGCGAATTGGCCCAATAGCGAATTGGCCCAACAGCGAATTGGCCCAACAGCGAATTGGACTAATCGCGAATTTGTAATTTTTTCACGATTGGACCAATCGCGAATTGTACCAATCGCGCCTAAACGCAATAGGAATAAATACCCTTTCAGTTTCGTTAAATAGAGGTAACAGTCATTTATATGATCTTTTTATTCTCTCCAAATTGCTGGTTTAAATAATCAGGAATGTTCAAATCAAAATACTAGTTTTAATTGTTATTAAGTAACGGTATAGATCGTTCTCGATTAGTTGAAGTAAACTCTCCACAAATACAACACAATAGGTCGACTGAATTACGCATTTTCGACTCATATTGAATACTTTCTCAAAAGAACTTCTTTAAAACACAAACTTATGAAAATAAATTAAAAAAAGTCGTCACTATTTGTTATAGTAATATTAAGCGACAACAACCCAATGATAACAAACTGAAAATATGCACAGATACGGGGGTACGTTGTGTTCTTAAAATGTCACGTCTTATTTTTGTTACTATAGCCAATCACAATACTTATTTTCGATATAATGTCAAAATTTCTCAAATTTGAAGTTAACCGTATATTTAGATATTTTTATGTATTAGATTATTTTTTGTAGATACTTAGACATGAGAGATATCAAAAATATAAAATTAATTAACGGCAAAAAATCATGTTGACCAGATTATTTAATTTTGCTATTATGCATTGTTATATCTGAGGAGAACTTCTTTAAAATTTCGTTGCAAGAGTTGACGAATATGAATAAATTGAAATTCAAATAAAACTGTAAATTTGCCTTAACAGATGTTCAGTATTGATATTCTATTAAGTACAAACATTGGTTGATATACCTGCACGCTAGTTTGGAGCATATGTAACCGATGTTCTAGTCGCTCGGCTGCTAACTGAGCTCTTTCTAACCTCAGGGATAAAGCGGTCTCCACACGATCTGAAATGCACGTAAAAGTCTTTATCCACTATAGACGCAAATTATATGTTGATTGATCCACATAAAAAGACCAACCAACAGTATCCTTTTAACTATATAATTCATACGTTGTTGTTGTTTGTCCAATTGCGGTGTCGTAGGGAGCAAACGTTGCGAAAGTGAACCCTGTGTTTACTCTCTAAAATAGGATATGACACAGTAAGATTATACTGAACAATTTTGTCACGTTGGAAATATGTGATGACATACATAAAATTGAATTGATACTAATATCTATCTACTGTTATATCATAGCTCTTCATTTGATATGTCAATTATTATTGCGTGAAAAACTTTTATTTATTTTTATTTCTAGTTGTTTCGACCACACAGCTGTAACTCATTAAACAAGTTGTACAGTGTGGCATGGGAAATGGCTTTCAATATCATATGCATTTTGAAAAGCCAGTGGAATTTTTATATTAAGTATATTGTGTACGTCCGCAACAAAAATCGTCTATAAACTTTTCAAATAGCATTTAATTTGAAAACAATAACGTTTATGAATTCATTAGATACTTATTCAAATAATTTTTACTGCCTTCTTTTTTGATCTCTATTATATCATAAGCAGGGGGACCCAATTTCAGAGGCGTAGTAACCGCCGTATATGCCGTATCAATTATACGGGGCCCCCGGGCCACTGGGGCCCCCAATGTGCGTAAGAAAAAAATAATAAAATCTTCCCAAATTTCTTTTTCTCACGTAGAGCAAGCGTTTCAAAGTTGGCAGCATCCTACAACCGATTTCGCGGGCTGCGGGATATCTCCGTTTAAGTCAGACTTTGATGGGGGAATCCTATAATAATCGGTGTATATACTTATGATTAAAATTCGTACAGTTTATACAATTTTTTTTTCTTATGTGAAAAATCTTTACCCTACATGAGGGCCCCCAAACAAATTTTATACGGGGCCCCGCTAAGAAACGCTACGCCACTGCCCAATTTATTAGGGAAATCGGTCAGAATCTTGATATGCTAAGACTTATAGTTATTTTATAAAAAATACCGCATGCTGAAGTAAATATAAATAAAATAAAATTGGCAACAACACCACTTCAACAACGCAGAAATAATACCACGATAAATATTTGAGGTGAAATTAAATGACTAATAATGGAGCAGCATCAGTTACCTAATTTATCTTGTATGACGTCGAGCCGGCGCGCTTGTTTCGCTTGTGCTGCACTGACAGAGTCCAGCACCCGCAACCTTTCCTCGATGTTCGCCAGGATACCCGTTAAATCCTAAAACGTAATGTTTGGCAACACTTATATATATTCCTTAGTCAGATTTTCACAAGGTCTCAATTTTATCCGGTCATCATTGTGTTTTTTTTTATAAAATTTGTTTTTTTTTTTGTAAATAATTAAATCATAATTTTAATGATAATCTTAGAGCTACGATAACTTTAAGAATTACAAAAAAGTATAAAGTATGCATAAGTTGCTGAACATATATGTATTAAGGTGCATTGGATAGATATTAGAAATAAGTATCCAATATCTTTGTGGTTTCACTAATGTATGGCAGATAGTTCAATGAGTCAATGTAGCCTACAGTGTTTCTCCCATGACCGTACATTGATTATAGTATATCGGCCACTGCTATTACTTCCGTATAGACCGTATTAATGGAAATTATATTGCTGTACGAAACTTTTAACTAGAGACTCCAGCAGCTTGGATTCAATACTCAATACTCAATCGCTTATTGCAAACCATAGTGTTACATAGATGTTACAATTATTATTAAATTCAAACTATGGACCCTGACGGGCACAGCAACAATACATAGAAACGAGGAAAATATTATGTTTATACTCGTTTTAAAATCAAAATTATAATTTAATGTAAATAGTAATGTCTTATAAGTGCAATATATAATTCATTTTAAAGCATTACAAAAACTCCTTATACAATATGCTTTATAAATCACATTAAAAATACAAATAAAAAAACCAATAATTACATTTTATTAATAGATTAAAAATAATAATAAAATTTGCTAATAATTACATTAAATGATAAAAATAAATACATTTTTCTATAAAACAAATGTCAAAAAAAAATCTAAAATTGCAAAAGATTTTTGCTTTGGTTCTAATAATTCAATGAAATTTTCATCGACTTTGATTGATTAGTAATATACATTTGAAGTGGCAGTGTAATAGAGACGTACGCATGCAGTTTGGCCAATTACTTCTTAAGTATATAGGCATAGCTACTTGACTAAAATATTCCACGTGCGTGTTCTTTGACTGCTCTATGTGTGTCCAATTCATAGACGCTGACAAATTTCCTTCGAAACATCAAAATTCAGTAATGTATCTATACTATTTATGTTGTTCCTTTATAATGAGGAAGTATTTTAAGAAAAAAAAAACACTAAAAAAGCACCTCACTAGATGGGGACTCTACCAAAAGTGAAATTTTGCAGGAAACGAATGGATCAAAGATAGAATTTCCGCTCCTTTTAACTAACATATAAAAAACCGAATTTTGCAAAGTTCGGAACTTAGATATCAATACAAATACGCAAAAGTACAAATAGAATGTGAGTTGTTTAGTGAGTTTTGAAAATTAATTTACTTTTAAACATGAAAGAAAACCGGAAAGGCTGTCATGAAGAAATCAAGAACGTACCGTAGCGTCACCTAGTTTGATTTCGAGAACTAATGATAAACTATTTTTTTAAATATTTCCTCATTGAGTAGGAAATATATTGTTTTGGATGTAAGTAGTGAGTTTTTTACCTTCTGGTTGAGGTTGTTCTGCTGCGTGTAAAGGCGTAGGTTGTGCGTCTCGGCGGGCGAGGTGCGCGCCAAGCAGAGGCACGCCAACGCCGTCGTGGTCGCTCTTAACATCGCCCCGTCTGAAAGCAACCACCATAGTGATCATAGATAATGTCTAATGGCATGTCTTCCGAAGAGTGGTTTTTCCTCGCGCCAGTATTATATTTAGATTAGATAATTTAACTATCCGATATTTAAAAAATTACCATTAACCTAAATCTGAATAATTAAGGATATACGTCATTGCCAAAGATAAAAGTATTTAGGCACTAACATTTTTATGGTATTTATTATAACAAGATATAAATAAATATTTGCTTTAGAATTTTTGTAATTGCTACCCCATGCGAACGAATTCTGGGGTAAATGCTAGTGTAATTAAGAAATACGTAATGCATTTTAACCGTAATTGAAAGATGGTCGCTTGTTGAAATTTCTTTGCGTAATATTTTATGCAATAATACACCACCCACAATGCTGATGAGCGAACAATACAAATATAATCTTCAAAATAGTACCCCGAAGCGGCAACTCAATGGTGAAGTATAAATAAATAAATTGATTGATGATATTGTTGCGTTGTGTATACATATTATATTGCATATAATATTTTGATAAGTAACTTTGAGAAATAAATAGAAATGAGAGACAGAATATGATTTTTAAAGTAAATAAATTAATCACTGAAAAGTCCTATTGACACATTCCGCACCTTCTTCTTAACTTTAATGGCACTTTGCGTCACCACAATACTGCCAACTTCACGTAGGGACCATTACATTGAGTTTGTAAAGTTGAGCGTCACATTATATTTTTGTCAGTTCTAACGCTTCGTATCTACTGAGAAATATGAGGCTGTCCATATTTTTATTCCCGATTCCTGCGACTGTTCTAACCATATTACTTCAATGAATTATTTACATGAAACGGAAGAAAAGCTAAGATATCGAAAAATGTCAACGGCTACAGGGACTAAATGCATTTATGTGTGTGCATGTACCTACAATGCTTTCGCCACCATTTCGTTTATGAATATAGCCCGATTCCGTGTTATTACAGCTTTCCTTTGTTCGTGTTCAAGTTCTTGGCTAAATAAACAGTGGGTTGTCTCGTTACTCGCGTGCCGGGGTCATTGGTATGAGCGTGGCCTAATAGGACAGGGTTTGTCTGGAATCATAGGATACCTAGCTCACCTTGCTTGTTAGAACATTCGTTCAAAATAACTTGTAACAAACAGTTCGTTGGACAATGATAGATGATTTCAATAGTTGTTCTTAGGTTCTGATCTATTTTGGTATGATATGTAATGATAACTTAAATTATTTCAGAAAATAACAAGTGTCTTCTGATTTTATTCATAAGAAAAAACTCGCATTTATAGATAGATTTATAGCTTTTAAAATAGAAGTTAACTTGAATTGAATTTAAAAAATAAAGAAAAATACGACTAAAACCACAGAAGTACGTTCTAGAAAGAGTTTAATGTTTGAAACCTCTACTCAAAATGGTCTTTCCACCACAAAAGAGCCGATTTGACTTTTAACTTCTATGGATATAAAGTATATGTCAATAAATCCATCAGGTTTAAGATAAGTGATGCCATTTGATGAAATAAATTTCTTGGCAGCTTTTACATGCAACTTTGTCACCGACGTTCACTTAGAACGAAATTTGTCTTTTATGAACCACCTTTGGCCTGTAGACTAAAATTATTTTTGTGTTAAGAGGGCTGAATTGTACTCCAAAAATGACTAGCTATCAATTAGTCTTGTACAAAGAAATAACATACAAATAAGTTATTTCTTTGTAGTAAAAAATGAGAAAATTAAAATCACATATGTGAGTGCCCTAAAAGGATCAGAGCAAGAAAAAGAATTTTCTCTATAGAAGAATACGAAAAATTTTTTTCATTGTAAATATTTATAAATATGCGCGTCATTTTGCAGCCGAGAGCACTTCGCCGTCCTCTATCCCTAATTATCTCATTCTCGATCGCAAAAGGTTCGATAGGGTGGGACAGTCTTGTCTTCGAGTTTGAACTCAGTCATACTGGTATAATATACTGAATCGCTGAGTTACAGCTGTCTACAAAACATTATGAACTTAGAGTCGTACCTTTTAAGACTCACGCAGTTACGATTTTAAAGCTGAACTTAAACCTTCACGAAAATAATTAACAGATATTTGTTTTTAGTATTTATTATATTTGATCAAATTTGCATTATCAATACTATACTGAAAAATATTCTTAATGAAAAATGCGACTTTGCAATCCAGGACCTAACCTCAGTAGCTCAATGGTTAAAGCTGTCGCCCGGATTGCGAAAGGTCGTGGGTTCAAATCTTATCTCAGAATGCCAGGGAGTAAGTGGATTTTTTAAGAATATTTCATTAAGAATACAGAATAATCTTTAGAGTCTCGATCCGTAATTACAATTGTAAGAGGGGAAGCAAATACCTAAATCACAAGTCTCCAATAAAATCAGAATGTAGTATATTTTCATATTACTCGTATTTCTACTAGTGAATACCTCCAATCCGCATTAGGCCAGCGTGGAAGTTTACGGCCCATCCTCCTTAACCATCCATAAGGAAGGCCTTTGCCCCTGCAGTGGGGACGTAAAAGGGCTGATGATGATGACTACTTGCGTAAATGCGGCGTAAGTTGATTATTTAGTTTGTTTCTTTATGCCAAGTATATGTTTTTGTCGGTTTCTACTACTGAACGTACACTTTATAGTCATCCGTCAAAATCTTATAGGTAGACCAATTGGTTTGATATACGTTAGCACCCGCGATACGAGTATCGATACGATGACATGCATTGTTTATTTCATCAATCATCGGCAGGTGCGCTATCTCGTCCTGTTTATGTGCATCTATTTATTTGCATTCCGGTGCAGTTCGTGGACCTCGGATTATCATTGTCTACTGCACGCCCACGCCCGAGGTCAACCTTTCATCAGCCCTCTAACGTTTACTTGCTATTACGTAACTTTGCATGTTGGAGTACAATATCGGGACGTCATTTTAAACAACGAAGGAGGTACTGGTCTCATGTCTATTTTATATCGTTTAAATATATAATTTTATGAATGACCTCTTACAATGTATTTAATTTATAGTATTTACATAAACATTAAAATATAATTACAAAGTTTATACCTCCTTTGTATCAGCAATACTGTCCTATAGAAGCAATTGTAAGTTAAGAATATTAAATGTGTTAGTAACGTGGGATGGGATGCGTCTATTGGTATAGTAACGTCAGTAGGTCACTCTATTAGGAGACGGTTATTTATTAGCCTTTATCAGACGAAGCTAATGATGTATTCATGGTGTCGGCAGCCGGCAGACGGTGGTCACGTAGCGCTCTCTATTCGGGTACTCACCGGGAACATTCGTTACGCACAGACCGTCTACGCGACTGATGAGATGAGAAATATGTATCACTATTAATTGATGTTCGATACACAAATCAGCTCACACGCCTACTAGCCTGTTTTAACAATCAGAGCAAAAGATGGGATGTGATCATTGACAGCTAAATAATCATCATCAATGAATGATAGTGTCTTAATGAGACTAGAGACGACTAACAGTGTTATAAAAAGCTCCTTCGTTTCAACACGCTTTTACTTTGTTTCGTTAAATAAGAATTCGAGACCGCTTTTAAAGTCATATTGTTAAGTGCAGTCAATCGTTGCAACCTTTCATTACTTGTTTTTTTTGTTCCTGATTTTGCCTGCGGGCATTCGAAAATTGGGAATTTAATTAATATGTTGTTTTAAGGTATGATGACCGTGTAGAGTAAATGCCGGAATCGCAAATACGTTTATTGTTTTTTATTCTGTAATAATAGTATGTATATTTTAACTTTGCCGCCGGTTTTGTTTATGGAGATTACTTAAAGTGAAAGTGAATAGTAGTCACCGGATTGCGTTAATTCAAATTTCTTTATCTAACTAAAGCATATCATTTATTTTCTAGAATTGAATTTCCATTGTATTCCGTTTTATTGGCTGCAGTAATGTTAGTTAATTTATTACTTTCGCACCTGTATATAAGTGTCTCTATAAGTTACTTATCTACATTCTATAACAATTAACTTTTCCATGGAAAAAAATACATTACGTTACACATCCCAATTTGTATGGGATAATAAAAATGATATTTTTATTTTTCTTCTAAAATTTTCGTTTTTTCGCTTAAAAAATATTGCTGATTGATCTAAAAATTCTCGAGTTTTCAAATTAGCAAAATATATTACAATAATTTTTTTATTATGTATAAACAATTTCATTAAAATGAAGATTGAAACAATTTAAATGCTGTCTATGTTAAGAGCTTCTCTTTTTTCCTGCATCACTGTTATTTAGTATTTTGTATGCCTTTTTTTTAATGAAGTTCGTCGTCTTGCCAAATATGATATTTATACCTATGCCATACACTTCGTTTTGCTTCCATTTTGTGTGGTCCTATTTTAATTTACCGCCAAGTTTGTCAAAGTTCAGTAGAGCTGGAACTAAGCCAAGGCGGCTACGCGTGTATTTCCAGGTGTTAAAACTACACTTTCGTTGCCTTTATTTGACGCTGTCTAATTAAAATGTCTCTTTGCGAAGGATACAATTTAACGTGTAATTATCGCTTTGGTGTTGTCTGTATTTGACATTGCCCTGTCTTACTTTCATAAAGGAACACTCTCAGTAACAATATGTGATTTAAATATTTTTTTTAACAAACTCTTATTAGCTATTGTAATACAGACCAGATATCTTGTCACACGTATGAAAGGAGCCTAAATCGACTGGCTGTTATATAATTACAAAGTTCCTTTGGCCTACTTTCAGCCTACATCATCAAATTGGATTGGATTGGATATTACTAGTAGCAATCTTTATTAAACAAATCAAAAGAGCCCAAAACTCGATGGGTTTGCTGCATTTGATTACAGTAGGCTACCTTTCGGTTTCAACCTTTGACCAGCTCTATTCCACGTCAATATTGGCATCCAAGTGACATATGCATGCAAAACTTCAGCTCAATCGAAAATGTACGGCAAATTTAGCTTGCAAGATTT